ACAAAACAAAATTAAACTGCCGTTTACATTACATGGCTTCCCACATGATAGATGAAAAGATTAAAAAATAGATTGAGTTAAACAATTGATATTTTCAAAAGTTATCGTGTTTACCACTCCATGCGGACATGATAAATCTGCATCATAAGCCACTAAAACCATTTTTTTATGTAAAAATAGCAATTAATCGATTTAAAAAAAACATTCATAAGCTTAACAATCATTTATCTTTCTGAAATTGTGCTTTTTATACCATTTCTATGTTCAATATGATTGTTAGATACGATTTTATGTGACAAAACGTTGGAATCTTGATTTTTAGGAGCTAGTAGAATATACCTACGCGCTTTGCGCTTAAGGCATGCAATAATTAAAAATTATAAATTTTGTACAACCGACTTCAATATAAAATATTAAGAATAACTCAAAACTATTGGTCAGACCTTGATATATGAGACCACATGTGAAGCACCAGCTTTCAAATACAAAAAGAATCATGGAAATCGGTTCAGCCAGAAAAAAGTTATAAGGTAACGTACATAAAAACATACAGTCGAATTGAGTACCTCCTCCTGCTTGAAGTCGGTAGAAAAAGTAACCTCACTCAACATTAACTTTTTTATTTCGTGAAATTATCTATATTATTAAATTATATATATTATAATATATACCTCCTTTTGTACTGCTTTTCTAAAGTTTACGTGTGTCATATGAAACTATATGAAAACCAGTAAATGAACCGAAATCTTTAAAAAAAAAACTTTATTGTAACGCTGTGGCCATTGATTGGACACACAATCAGTTTGCTCGTTGACTCTCTCAACCGGAATTGTGGCACATTCAGATCTGTCGACGCGTGTCCAGCCGATCGTAATAGCTTCATTGTTAGCCAATGAATCTGTCGTTTCAACGCACATGCCAATGATAATACTTAAAACTGTGCATATCACATGCGAAGCGCCAAAAATTGGGAAAGATGACACTGACAAAGCGAAGTTTAATATCATGGCATTCAGAATTCTAATATAAATACCGCGGAGGAATTAAGAGTTGAAAAATTAAACTCTCATGGCTCCAGTACACGTTGGCCGAGCGCGCTTGGCGAGCGCACTGGGCAGATTTTCGTGGTGCCGTTCACACGTTGGCGTGTTTCATTCTGCGTTGGTAGCTAGATGATGATGGACGTTAGGGCAATCGCGGCCGCTGTCATATATTTATACAGCGCTTCACTCTTCTCAGAGTGAACGAAAAAAAAACTACTCATACAACAATAATCCCAGTTTGTCCTTTTTAGGGTTCCGACCTCAACAGGAAAAAAGAAACCTTTATAGAATCTACTAGCTGACCCGTGCCCGCTTCGGTCCAACAATATCCAGAATTGTTTAATCATGAAGACCCACATTATCACGATGAAATAAAAACATCTCTTCATACGAGCTGTCCATGACGCAAAAACGACCTATTTTGATGAGGAATTTGCGATGAATGAACAATTCGATTCGATTCGTCAGAGATAGACGCACTAGGAATAAATGCGACTCACTTCGATTTGACGCATTTCTGCTGTAGTCGACGCCAGGCTTTAGAGTATGTACATTACATACCCTTAACCGACGAGCGTGTATGCGTAGATATATGGATGTAAAGGAGGCGAGAGAGGTGTGTCAGGATCGCGCCAAAAGGAAGTCCGTAGTCTCTGCCTACCCCTTTGGGTGACAGGCGTGACTGTTTGTGAGTATGTACATATAAGTAAGCTACTTATATATACTCTAAGATTAAAACAAAAAAGAATACCAGATAAATATGCTAAAGATGTTAAAAATTAATTGGCTTCGCTCCACGTAATAAAATAAATTGACGTCTCTTACCTAGATTTAGTTGTAGTTACTTCGCGTGGTTGACCGCTAATACAGCTTTAGCGGTCAGCCACAGCAGAATCTACTTCACCGGAGGACGCCTCGCTTAGAGGCAAAACACGTGTCACATTATCGACGGCGATGTCTTTCCTAGTGTAGTCGTATTAGGAGTAGCGTTGCTGGGATTGATGGTGATAGGGATAGTGCACACAATTGAGGGAGGACGGGAGGTGCTCTTCAAACTAGGTAATACATCATTTTAGTTTATTAAATTATTAAGATCTTTAATATAATGGATTTTCGCAAAGTAACGCCTGATTCTATTAATTACATAAATATGCAATGAATTAAAATAATTCTATAACTTGCCTTCGACGCTTGATTCACAAAGGCGTGACTTTAGAATGGATACTTATGGAAAGAGAAGACATAACAATGAACTTTATTTTAAACTATGAATAAAGGTTTTTTTATAACATTAACTGACTTTGTTGAATTCGTTCTGGTTAAATAAATGACCTTGACTTTTGGAAGTAGGAAACAAAGCAGAGAAAAAACTAGATCTTCAAGGAAATAAACAAGAATGTTGTATTGTTTATGTAAATGTTTAATAAAAGGTAATAAATACAGTTTTTTTTTTGTAAATATAGCAGCGAATAGTTATGACTGTAGCTTTATAAATGTAGCAGCACGCTGGGCAGTGGCGGATTATCCCTAAGGCAAACTAGGCACGTGCCTAGGACTGCACGGTTAAAAACGCTCGCGCGCGAAAGTTTCCCTACATCGCTCTCACTCTCAATTACATTTTTCATTCACGCTCACCTGTTAAGGGTACTAGTGTCCTAATTACTTTGCAACTATTAAACTATATTATAAATTATAATATTGGACATAGTTTATTTGCAAAATGAGTAGTTATAATTTATAATATATGGCCGCTATATGGACGTTGATCAGGTGATAGTCTAAAGCGCTGTCGACATTTAGTCCGCCTCTGATGGTGGGTTAATATTAGGGGCTCAGAAGTTAATTTTATTAATCTAATCGATAATTCAAATATATCCAATATATTATGGTTATAGCACGAATGGGTCGGCTTGACCGGGGAAGGACCACGCTCTCACAGAATACCAGCGTAAATTAGCAGCTCAATGCACCTGTGTTACGTATACCTACCAGTGTAGAGAACCGGAGACCTTTTTTTACTGGAAACTAGGCATTCCATCTTAGTCCTCACGGTTGAATACGCATCCACATTTTGATTCTTAATCGAAGATGTAGATATCAGGTGGACAGTGCGCCCTTAATTTATAAAGAATATGTTTGAATTTGAAACTATGCGATAGTAAACTCAAATTGGCTTGCGTTGGTAATGCTAGTAAAAAGTTAGTTTTTTTGCATAATGATTTCTTATATTTACGCGAACACTACACATTGAATAAAACTATTTTTACGGATTTTATCGCGTTTAATTTACTTATTTTATATTCCCGACGTTTCGGTTGCTTTTCAGCAACCGTGGTCACGGGGGACTGAGGTGATTGACGTCCCGATGTCAAAGTTAACCCGGAGTACCTTCAGCTTTTTAATTATTAATTTTGGTCCGATCTACGCAGAATGAACTAACTGTGTCTTGAAGTCTTGCAGTGGTATGCTTGGGTTTAGTTTTAATTTTATGAATTACAGGATCCCAAGCAGGTGGTAGTACCCAGCCTCCCTCTCTATTGAAATTAGGATGTTTTTTAATTTCAATAGCCTCACGTATCATCACAAACTGCAGACTTCCCCGAACGTTGGATCCTAGTTGTGATCATATCCTAGACGGCCCCCGTCATTACATTAGATTTGATAAACCACAAGTCCTCGCGAAAGAACATCGATTCCTGCCAAGGATGATACGTGAGGCTATTGAAATTAAAAAACATCCTAATTTCAATAGAGAGGGAGGCTGGGTACTACCACCTGCTTGGGATCCTGTAATTCATAAAATTAAAACTAAACCCAAGCATACCACTGTAAGACTTCAAGACACAGTTAGTTCATTCTGCGTAGATCGGACCAAAATTAATAATTAAAAAGCTGAAGGTACTCCGGGTTAACTTTGACATCGGGACGTCAATCACCTCAGTCCCCCGTGACCACGGTTGCTGAAAAGCAACCGAAACGTCGGGAATATAAAATAAGTAAATTAAACGCGATAAAATCCGTAAAAATAGTTTTATTCAATAGTTTTTTTGCAATAAAAATTACAAGGGAAAGTAGAAAATGTCACTATTAAAACTAGTGTCCGACCGAAACCGAATTTTCAACCGAAAACGAACCTCCGATCTGGATGCCAAATTCGGCCGAAACCGAAACCGAAACTTATTTAAGCATGTTATTTTTTATTATAAACTGAAATCTGGTATATTTTTTATACATATACAGATAGGTAATGCATGTTAATGAAAAATATTAATTGTTATGACAATAATATATTGCTACATGACAGTAATCATGTAGCAATATATTTATTTATTTTAAAGTAAAAAATCAACAATTTAACGTTACGAAATACTTTTTTAAGTAAATTTTGTAAGAAATCCACACTTACAATTATAAAAAGTTCCTCGCTAATTGAGAACATATTTTATTGTGTTCACAATATTGTTAAAACGAATATATTATTCAACGAGAGCATTAACGTAATATAATCTATACAAATAAATAAAATTGAAGTGTCTGTTTGTAATGTTTAAATTACAGTTTTTTACTAAATGCATATGAAAGTAAATACGGTACTTATAACTAAAATACAATTTTTAAAGTTTTTGTCTGTCTGTTTGTTCCGGCTAATGTCCGAAACGGCTGGACCGATTTTGACGGGACTTTCTCAGGCAGATAGCTCATTTTATAAGGAGTAACTTAGGCTACATTTATTTTATAAAAAGAATTAGGGTTCTGCGCAAAAACATAAAAACCCTAACACGCGAGCGAAGTCGCGGGGAACAGCTAGTTATGAGTAATATACGACACACACAGTTCGGACGAGTCTCGAACTCATCTGAACGACGCACGATAATCTACGAACACTTGAGTTTCGGCGTCGCCGAAGGTTCGGCAGATTTTTTGCCAATCTTCGGTCGGTCACTAATTAAAACTCACCCTGTTACGCTGGGACTGTTGTAATTTTCAGTGACACCGGCAAAAGGGTAGTCATCGCAGGAGAGTACGAAGGAAAAGGTGAACACGGCGGCTATCAGCGTCACCGCGACGCAGAGTTTGATGATACCGGCACAGGCTAATTTCCAGCGCTTTACCAACCAACCACCAATGAACGTGCCGCCGCCACCCGCTGGGACTGTGATTACACCTGCAAATAATAAGAAAATTATGATAATTTGTTAGAATCCACGAGATTGTAGATCACGGTACATAGCAACCAAAAACAATCTTTACTCGTTTTTTTTCGTATACATTATACATTTTAATCGTATACAGTTTATGTTACCTCATAAAGATTATTGCTTCAAGAAAATTGAGAGTATAATTAATTGAAATTATAATTGAGGGTATATAGTATTTAAATTAACTCAAGTTTGGATACATTTTCAGTATGAATAATATCTATTCAACAAGTACAATTGGATGTTAGTTGTAATTCTGGGGTGTAAAGCATTCTTCACCGCCTGCTTGCCCGCAAAATCTATTGGTGGACACGAGCCCTTCATGAAGGAAGGATTTACCCTTGGTTATATCCTTATCTATTAGAAGCCACAAGATCTTTCTGGCATGTACCGTAATTGCTCTCATAAGATAACCACGGCACAAAATGGGGTCATGAAATTATTTTAAGCCAACGACACACGGCACGGCCACTTCGCTACCTTATATCAACTATTTCTTGAGCGTCAACTTCACTTGCACGTGATTGTAATCTAACTAATGAGGTTCTGAGTGTCCGACTAATGTCGAAAAATCCATCTAACAAAGTTGACCTAAAATTTGCAGACTAGTGTTGGGAACAGTAGGTACTACTCTTCGTGGTGCGTGGTGCGTAGTGCTGTGTGCATTTTTAAGTTCATCGTGGCGAGAGCTTTCGAGTCATGTATGCTGGGTGCATTTTTCGAAAGACCAGATAGTCCAGTAATGAAATTATAAAAGCAATTGATACGAAATGGTTTGAATATATGGTCAGTAATGTATATAGGTAGGTAGGTATAGATTAACAATTGGACCCTGGCTGTTGTCGAGATCACGAATGCGAAAACGGGACACCTTGTGACACATCCTAAGTTCATAACAATTCGTAATTTTTTAAAAGTTTGAATTAGAATTTAACCGTGACATTTTAGTTAAGAACATTTAATATTTGAAAGTTAAAGTTACAGCCTATATACGACCCACTGCTGGGCACTGGCCTCCTCTCATTTCTGAGAGGGTTTTAGGGCAAGGAAGTGTTCACCGCGCTGCCCCAATGCGTGTTAGCGAACTTCACGTCTTCGAAACAAATTAAGAACTGAATGTTTGCAGTTGGAATGGTTGGAGGTTCATTCCCGCGCTTTTCAATTGATTTTTTTAATGTCAGTCGACGAGTAAATGTTTTGATACAAAATAATACAAAAAAATAAACTAAACAAAATAAACTTGTTAATTATTAATATGTATTTTGTGAACTTTTTTTTCTAGCATATTTGTGTTTATATTATTATGTAGATCGACATTGGTGTTTTTATGCGTTATTAATTACTTTATTTTTTAATTGTTATTACCACGTACTCGTTACTCGATTTCGTGTGACTGTTCGAAGTGTAAACTAACTTCTCGGTGAGCCTTTGAAGTAGATATTTTAAATTGTGGTCAAAGCTCAGATTCGAATGACAATGAGAAAAAATCGTAGTAAGTATAAGAAAATTAAATAAAATGTTATTACTTGATAGAAGCAAAGATTCCTTTAGATGATTCAAAGTCTAGCAAATGGTCCTTACAGTCATAAAAGTGGTTGTTATTTGTTTGATAATTAACTAGGTATATAGTGTGTTCAATAATTGTTTCCTTAAATTATTTCAAATAATACCTAATAACAAAGCAGCTTCCGAAGCACTGACAGCGAACTGATTTTCGATGAGTTTCGGTAGAAAGGCGGCAAATCCAGAAATCAGCATCCCTTCGCTGGCACCCGCCAGGTTCAGGAACACAAAAGTGGGGTTCCTCATCAGGGCTACAGTAGCCTGGGGAAGCTCGTGTAAAGCGCTAAATGCGGCTGACTTTGAGGCTGCACCTTCATGTGCCTCGCATACTTTCGATGCTCGGATTTCAGCAGCACCTGAAAGTATTACGTAACATAACACTATCTAAGTAGTTGCTGTCATTAAAAGTTCGATATTCATTGTTGTTTATTATGGTGGTAACCCAAGGGATCAGTAAACTAAAGTGCCAGTGAGCCGGCCATATAGCTCGACGAGCCAACAACTGATGAAGAAGAAAGATTCTAGAGTTGAAGCCACTAACCGTGGCGGAATGTAGAATGCCCAGCTGTTAGATAGAGTAACGACCCGGTAAGACACAAGAAGTCGATAGATGCAAGTGGCCCAGGGCAGTGTCCTGTAAATTGTTTTTGTACGTAGTAGAGCCATGCTGCAGTTATATTAATTATATAGTTGTAGCACGAATGCGTCGACTCGACCGGGGAAGGACCACACTTTCACAGAATACCAGCGTACAATAGCACCTTAATCCTGCTGTGTTTCGTATGGTGAGTGTAGAGAATCGGATACCCTTTTTACTGGAAAAGGCATTCCATATTAGTGTCAGCTGTGAACAACGCATCTGGATTTGGATTCGAAAAGGGGATAGATGTAGATGTCTATGAGCCGCAGCAACCACTTACCATCAGGTGGACTGTGTGCTCGCTTGTTAGCCTATCCCATAAAAAAAGAGATAATATCTTGAGCGGTAGGCCTATAATAATGATGATACAAAATACGGCAATCTTTACAACGCAGCCAGTCCTACAAAATAACAAATATACTGGCTGGTAGGATTCCTTTTCCGTTTCTACAAACACTTGTTCTTTTAGGGATGCGAAGCCGCAACTCCAAGTGCCGCAGTAAAATGCTACTACGATCTACCGAGTACGTCAAATTATAATAAACTAGAAAACTAAAAACTAAAGTGTAAAATATTAAAATATCACCTGGCAACTCGTAGGGAAAAGCGAGCAACGGTATTGCCACGACGAGGCACAGAATAGCGGAGAGTATGAAGCCGACCCACCACGCACCAATCCACACGGAACTCTGCGGTGTTATTCCGATCCTGTTGAGAAAAAAATATTTTAAAATAATATATTTAATTGAATAATTAATTGAATATAATAACGCCCCTTTATTACCTAATTATCAATGAAGGCATCCACTGCTTTTTCTACCACTATAGCGGTGCCAATTAGAAATAACGTGAAATATTTCATGGCAAGGTTTTTTGTCATATTAGTTATATTTTAAACTAATTAGATTAGAAGTAAAATAAACCAAACTACGGATATCAAACCACTATCACTGTTTTGTGTATTTACATACTCTAGAAACCGATAAAATTTAACTGAAAAAACGTAACTTCTCTTAGCTTATGGTTGTAGCACGAATGGGTTGCCTCGACTGGAGTAGGACCAAGCTCGTACAAAATACTAGCGTAAAATAGCAACGTAATGCTGCTCTGTTTTGTATGATGAGTGTAGAGAACCGTAGACCCTTTTTATTGGAAACGAGATATTCCATCTCAGTCCGCAGAGGTGATAACGCATCTGCATTTTTTTTCTTAATCGAGGTTAACTTTAGATGTCTATGGCCCACAGCATCTATAAAAAACCCAATCCCAACTACTGGCATCTGATGAACAAAAAAATGAATGTTGTCATTTTTGTTTTTTAGAATAAGGGTGACAAACGAGCACACAGTCCACCTGATGGTAAGTGGTTGCTGCGGCCCATAGATATCTATCCTCGTTTGCGAATCAAAATGCAGATGCGTTGTCACCCGTGAGGACTAAAATGGAATGCCTCATTTCCAGTAAAAAGGGCCTCCGGCCACCTGCACTCACCAAGCGAAACGCAGAGGTAAACCTCTACTTCACGCTGGTATTCTGTGAGGTCGTGGTACCACCCCGGTTCGAGCCGGCCCATCCGTGCGACAGCAAAAGCTGCCGCGTGGCTCTACCACTGTTAAACCTTAATTAAAAAATATATGTGTCATGAACCTTAATTAAAAAAAAATTAAGTGTGTATAATTAATGTGAGAATAGTTTATCGATATTATCTTAAACAGTAGGGTTTGTCTCTACACACTAGTCTATAATTTAAAATTAAAAATTGTGTACAACCGACTTCAATATAAATTATTAAAAATAACTCAAAAACTATTGGCCAGACCTTGATCAAATTTATATGGGACCACATGTGAAACACCAGCTTTCAAATAAAAAAAAGAATCATCGAAATCGGTTCACCCAGTAAAAAGTTATGAGGTAACACACATAAAAAAAGATACAGTCGAATTGAGTACCATTTCCTTTTTGGAAGTCGGCAGATAAGTAAACAGCCTCATGTTTCAGTTTCCCTCCGTCACCTCTTACGACACTCATAGGACTATATGGCATACTGAATATTTGTACATATAATGTACAATAAATTATATTATATATATGTTGTAAAGTAAATTATATATTTACATTGTAATAAGTCCGGAGTGAATTAGGAGTGAGATTCATCGCTGAGCGCATCTTCCTACGATTAGAGAGGGTTAAAAGTTAAAGAACAGGAATGTATGGGGATAAAATCATTCTGTAGGTACGTGAAAAATGACTATTGAAATTCCAGAAAGATCTTGTGAAACCCGAATGATGGTGGAAACTAAAAATTTGTGTTTTTTCTCAATTGTTCGTTATGACAGTGATTAGAATCCGGGACTCGGGACTTTGTAGTCTGGTACGCCAACTATTAATCTACGAGATACGAAAAACAATAACACAAACGCGATATAAGTTCTGAGATGAGAATAAACATTGAAATTTAATTAAGAAGTACCAGATCGCATAATTGCAAACAATATTGTAAAGGGCAACACAAAACAATACTAAAGACGGTGTGCAGCGTTAGGAAACCATTGTTATATCGCCTCGGAATATATTAAAATCGTTTTCGTATGATAATTGGAGGGTTTGTATAGCAATCGAAACTCGCGAACACTTCCAAGTTATATCAGGAGTTCATCGAATGTTATTTGGAGAGTCCTTAGCCAAACAAATTGGGTAACTGTGGACTCCCGTAATGAAATAGAATAATAGATCCAATGAAAATTTGCCAAACGATGTTATGAAGTGAGTAATATAATTAAATTTGTTATGCCCACTTTGGATATAACGAACTTAATTATTTTATACTGAGCGTACAATATTTTTGTGGATTTATAGTATAATAACAATTTTATAAAAATAGTTATTGTTTGCATGCTCATTTAGAAAACGGAAAAGTATGAACGTGTCTCTCTGTAAAGTTCGATCACCGATCTATCCAAAAATTATAAATTACGCGTATTGTACAACGAAGTTAAAAAAATAATTACCTATATACGTTCTGCTGTGCGTGTTGGCCTGTTCCAAATGCGAAATATTTTATTTTTCGGGCATGCAGATTTCCTCACGATGTTTTCCTTCACCAACGACCACATGGTTAATCAAGATTTAAAATTAGTAGCAGCAACGTATCAGGGGGGAGGTGCATGTCCCTGTGTAGATTTTAAGAGCATTCGGAATGAAAGTCAGTTCCCCGCCTTATCTTTTGAAATGATTTATTTTGATTAAAATATTAGAGAAAAACATTAAAATATTAATTTAGCATAGCAAGTTTTGTAAATAGGGATAATCTACAGACACATTGTTAAGGGTAGGGATAGGTATAAAAATATTATATAAGTATTGTTTTATATATTTTTAAAAATATACAAAGGCTAGGTGTGGGAGGCGACATTTTCGACCTCAGGTGGCAGCTACTCAAGCTACGGTACTGGGCAATTAACAATTAAAATTGTGCCGGCCATATTCTTAGCAGGCATTTTTATGGTGAATTTTCATTGTATATACCTCTCAAAAGACATATTTTTTTATTCAGTATAGTTTATAAGTAATTTTTATTGTAAGTCTTTTTTTTTTTACTTTAACCACTGGTTCGAGAAAAAAGGTACCTAAAGAATCAGCCAGAAACCTCGCGGAATTCTTGACATATTCACGTTTTGCATGAATAAGTCACATAATAAAAATAAAGAGTCGAGATCAGGTACTCGTACAAGTATACCTTTGCGACTGCCGTAAACAAGTGCGTAGATTATTGAAAAGTTGTTGACTAAATTAAAAGTGAAACCGTATCAAAGAGGTTGTTCAGAGCTCGCTGCGTTGAAAATCATATTTCGTTGCGGAAGCCATGAAAGTATAAAACGGCGGAATTAATTTGGCTGAAAAGTTTCCCGGCCCACAATGAGATGAAAGCGAGAGGGTAAGTTGGCTGGATGAAGCCGTGTCGCTGCCGAGTTGAAATATGAAAAAATACGTGAACAAGACACCGGTGCAGATAATAGAAAGACTTTTGTGCGCGCCAATGTGCCTTTTTTATGCTTGAATAAGTATTTGACATCTAAAAGAGAATCTCACTACTAATCGAATTTAATCTTTAGAATGTTCACTTGGTAGATCCAAGCTGCATAAATAATACATAATACAGATTAGTACGAGTAGTATAGTTGTCGCACGAACGGGTCGGCTCGACCGGGGAAGGACCACGCTCTCACAGAATACAGCGTAAAATAGCAGCTTACCGCTGCTGTGTTTCGTATGGTGAGTGTAGAGAACCAGAGACCCTTTTTACTGGAATCGAGGCATTTAATGTAAGTCCTCACGGGTGACAACGCAGCTGCATTTTGATTCGTAATCGAGGATTGATGTAGATGTCTATAGGCTTATATAGATGTCAACCAATTACCATCAGGTGGACTGTGTGCTCGTTTGTCACCTTTATCCTATAAAAAAAAATCTAAAACAATGATACTTTTACCGCTCGCAAAAGTCCACTGGCTGGACTGGCTGGACATGGGCTACTTCCGTTAGAAGTATTTGCCTTAATCTCCACGCTTCGCATGCAAACTGGGATCCTAGTACCAGACGTCCATCAGTTTTTAGCTAGTAAGTAGGTATGCCAGACGTATCAGTAACTAGACTCCACAGAGTCAGTAATTCATTTTTGGGGCAATGTATACGTTTTTACAACAAAATGACAAAAATATACAATATTTTTCCAGCGTAGTTCATGAAGTTACAGGCTATAGGTATACGTCCCACCGTTGGGCACAGGCCACATTTCATTTCTGAGAGGGTTTTAGGTTTGTCACCTTTATCGTATAAAAAAAAATCTAAAACAATGATACTTTTACCGCTCGCAAAAGTCCACTGGCTGGACTGGCTGGACATGGGCTACTTCCGTTAGAAGTATTTGCCTTAATCTCCACACTTCGCATGCAAACTGGGATCCTAGTACCAGACGTCCATCAGTTTTTAGCTAGTAAGTAGGTATGCCAGACGTATCAGTAACTAGACTCCACAGAGTCAGTAATTCATTTTTGGGGCAATGTATACGTTTTTACAACAAAATGACAAAAATATACAATTTTTTTCCAGCGTAGTTCATGAAGTTACAGGCTATAGGTATACGTCCCACTGTTGGGCACAGGCTACATTTCATTTCTGAGAGGGTTTTAGGGCAAGGAAATGTCCGCCGCGCTGCCCCAATGCGTGTTGGCGAACTTCACATGTTTTCGAAATATTTTTTTTATTTTTCAGACATCCAGGTTTTCTCACGATGTTTTCCTTCACCACCGAGCAGGTGGTAAATCAACACTTAAAAATGAAATTAACCATTTCATTGGTGCTAGCGGGGATTGAACCGGGGTTGCTCGCTTACTGTGAAATTTAAAGCGAGCACTTTGCCCCTGAGCTATCACCGCTCTAGTTAGGCTCGGACGTAGTTCATAAAACTTTATTTATTAAACATTGTTTAAAAAGGGTTATTATAATATTATGGAATTTATGGATAATAAACCTAGGAAATGAGGTGATCGCTAACAAGCTGTTTCTATTTAATATATTTTGTGCAGTTTATTGTGTAATATAATATGTATGATTTTAAACTGTTCTTCTTATTACAAGAAAAGATCACGCTTGTTCCTTTCCTGGTTCTTCGTAACACAGAGGTATTTTCTGAACCAGTGGTAAATTATGATTTCTTATATTTACGCGAACACTACTTAAAATTAATAATTAAAAAGCTGAAGGTACTCCGGGTTAACTCTGACATCGGGACGCCAATCACCTCAGTCCCCCGTGACCATGGGTGCTGGAAAGCACCCGAAACGTCGGGAATTAATAAAAATAAGTAAATTAAACGCGATAAAATCTGTAAAAGTAGTTTTATTCAGTGGTAAATTAAACATAAAACGAATTTCAATAAGCATTATTAATAATCAATATTAAATTAAAAGAACAACTATTTATATTTGAGGCTGCTCCTTGTCGCCGGTATAGATGTGTTACGTAATGCGTGAACGAGATTGATATACCGTCATCAATAGGAAATCATGAGCATTTTTTGGGTTTACTATATTCGCTTACGACACCCACACAACGAACTGAAGTGCTAGATGCTCTTAAACCACCACCGAATATCTTGAGAAGGTATTGAATAAATACACTTATTTAAATTTTAAAACAGTAGGTAGTAGATCGATTTAAGTACGACTCCTTTTTTAGGAGTTTGTCTGGGTCCTAGGCAGAAAACTCTCTAACCCAGACAGACTCCTAAGCTTCCGAGTCCTTTTTTTATATAATAGGGTGACAAAAGAGAACACAATCCACCTGATGGTAAGTGGTTGCTGTGGCCCATAGACATCTACATCTATCTTCGATTACGAATCAAAATGCATGTGAGGTGTAATTGTCACCTGTGAGGACAAAGATGGAAAGCCTCATTTCCAGTAAAAAGGGTCTCCGGTTCTCTACACTCACCATACGAAACACAGCAGCGTTAAGCTACTATTTTATAAAAGTATTCTATGAGAGCGTGGTCCTTCTCCGGTCGCCGACCCATTCGTGCTACAACCATTATAGCTGCAGCATGGTTCTACCACGTGTAAAACTGTCTTACCTGTTGTTGCCGCCAAATACCATTGTATACCAAATATAATGTGCCGCGTTCCGATCTGAAGGATATAGATAGCCACTATAATTACAGGCTACGAGGCATTCCATCTTAGTCTTAAGAATTGAATGCATCTGTAGCCTTTGTTTGCGGTAGATTGCAAGTGTCTATGGGCTGGGGTAGCTACTTACCGTCAGGTGGACTGTAAGTTCATTTTTCACTGCCACTTTAGTATTATAAAAAAAACGGACAAGTGAGAGCAGAACTCGCACTTTGAGCGCTCCTGTAAATTTTATTATGTATATAGATAGCTAGAAGCTCATTGCTCTAACGAAATGGTAAGTCAGATTGAAAAAAAACATACATTTAAATTTGTAGTCAAAAATATTTTCCCTCATACATCACGATCAATGCTCCAGCTGCAAACGTAAGTTTGTAATCGCAATTTTTTTTAAATGTAATATTACTACAGATTAACGATTCTCTTCTTATTCTTTTTTTGTGCTGCGAGACTCTGCCGAATACTCGGTTTAAAAAAAAACGGGCGGCGTGTGGTTATTAAGTGGCGATTCTTGCGAAGTCACTTATTGATTTCACGATGTCTGTCCGTCTGTCCGTCTGTCCGTCTGTCCGTCTGTCCCACGATTATCTCGAGAACGGTTTCGAATTTTCAAATTCTGTTTTCAGCAATCGATTAATGATCACCCAGGCATCTGAACCTCCTATTTTGAAACTGATTGCTCAACGGCAACCGTTAGAAACCGCTACAACTTCGCCACTTTGCTATGCTGTTAGCTTGCTAGGTTTATTTCCCTTACAAACTAGACCCAAATAGGGTCGAAAAACTAGTGTTTTTGCATCACAATCTTCCTCTCTTAAATTTTAAATATTAGTCAATAATAATTTCTATTATAGATTCTTATGTATGTTTTAAATATTTCTGCTGCTTCTCATGTTCCTGATGTTTTAATGTGTCTAATATAATAAAAATGATAAAAACTGGCTTTTTGTCTTTATTTTTCTCTGGAATATAATTAAGGCCAAGTACTCGGTACTCGGCCGTTAATACTCGGTGCTCGGCTGAACCCTAAAAAAAGGCCGAATCCGCCGAGTACCGAATTCAAACCGAGTACTCGTCCCATGTCTATTCAAGGTCAACAGAAAGTACCCTAGTACGTTTCCAAGTACTAAAGTTACAGCCTATATACGTCCCACTGTTGGGCACAGGCCAACTTTCGTTTCTGACAGGGTTTTAGGGCAAGGAAATGTACGCCGCGCTGCCTCAATGCGTGTTGGCGAACTTCAAGTCTTTGAAATATATTTTTTTCTTATTTCTCAGACATACAGGTTTCCTTAAAATGTTTTCCTTCACCGCCGAGCACGTGGTAAATCAGCACTTAAAATTGCAATCAATAATTTCATCGGTACCGGCGGGGTTCGAACACGGGTTGCTCGCGTATTGTGAAATATACAGAGAGCGCTTAACCTCCGAGGTACCACGGCTCACGGCACGGTGTTTACGAGTCACTAACTTATAGGTATATTCCTTTTGAAATCATTGTTGTGAGTATTAAGATATGAGAAATAAATGATCGTATCTTTTGATTACGTTTTTTTTTTATATAGGAGAGGGGGCAAACGAGCATGAGGCTCACCTGATGGTAAGTGACTACCGCCGCCCATAAACAACTGCAACACCAGAGGAATCAGGAGAATTGCAGATGCGTTGCCGGCCAATTAAAAAGGAGTAGGCTCTTTTCTCTTCGGTCCGGAAAAATCGATGATGGTAACCGATTCCATAAGGAAGTCGTGCGAGGAAGAAAACATCTTCTAAATCGCACAGTGGTGGACCGCCAATCATCCAGATGGTGTGGATGGTATCGGGAGTTCTGCCGCGATGTGCGTTTGTGAAATTTGGCGGCTGGGATTAATCTGAACAATTCCTCAGAGCACTCCCCGTGGTAAATGCGGAAGAAAATGCAAAGGGATGCAACATCTCTTCGCAGTGCCAATGAATCGAGCCGATCGGAAAGGACTCGGTCGTCGACGATACAAGCCGCTCTGCGCTGGATGCGGTCAAGTGGAAGGAGCTGGCACTGGGGAGCCCCTGCACAGAGATGGGAACAGTATTCCATGTGAGGCCGAACCTGCGCCTTGTAAAGTTGCAGGCGGTGTGCCGGCATGAAATACTGTCCTGCTTTGCCGAGCACGCCAAGCTTTTTAGAGGCCAATTTGGCCTTCTCTTCCAAGTGACGAAACTGCACGTCACTCTATATGTCGACTCCGAGGATTCCGATACTGGCTGAGGCGAGAAGGGGAGTGCCTTGAAACTGAGGAGATACGACAAAGGGTTTCTTTTTAGCGGTAAACGCGCAAACTTGTGTCTTCTGAGGATTAAATTGGACTAGATTTAGTCGCCCCCAATCCGAGACTTTGTTCAGCAAAGACTCGACTTCAGACCCAAGTTTGTTCCGGTACTCGGCGACGTTTTCCCGAGAAATATTGGCACGGCCGGTGTATAGAGCATTACTAGTGCTGTCATCCGCATAGCAATGAATGTTACCAGTTAGTAACATATCATTGATATGCAGAAGAAACAGCGTTGGTGATAGCACACAGCCTTGTGGAACACCAGCGCTAATAGGCTTGTAGGCGGAGCAAGCACCGTCTACAACGACCTTGATGCTCCGATCTGCAAGGAAGCTGGTGATCCAATTGCACAATTTCTCGGGAAGCCCATAGGAAGGAAGTTTCGAAAGAAGCGCTTTGTGCCAAACCCGATCGAAGGCCTTCGCAATGTCCAAACTAACGCCCAACGCCTCCTTCTTGGACTCTACTGCCTCCGCCCATCTATGGGTCAGGTAGACCAGAAGATCACCAGCTGATCGACACCGACGAAAACCGTATTGGCGGTCACTAATCAGCTGGTGATCCTCAAGGTACCGCATGAGCTGGCAGTTAATAATGGATTCCATTATTTTGGAGAACAAGAAGGTGATGGCGATAGGCCTGTAGTTGGACGGGTCTGAGCGGTCGCTTTTTTAGGGATCGGGTGGACAAAAGCTATCTTCCATGAATTCAGGACTACGCCTTGGGAGTAGGAGTACCGGAAAAGACGCGTTAGGACCGGTGCCAACTCCGAAGCACACGTCCTCAGCACAAATGGGGGGATGCCGTCAGACCCACTCGACTTCTGGATGTCCAGAGAGAGGAGTGCTCTGCGAACCGAGCGCTGTGAGAACTGCACATCCGGCATGGAGCACTCACACCGCGAGATGGTCGGCGGTGTTTTCCCCTTGTCATCAAGAGTCGAGTTGGACGCAAAAAGGGAGCCTAAAAGGTCGGCTTTCTCTTTTGCGGCTAGGGCCCACTGGCCCTAGCCGCAATCGTACTAGTATTAGCCGCCTTATTATTAGTAGCCTTAGTATTCGGTATTATTCTATCTATTAGTATTCTTGACAAACGGAAAGGCACACGGACAAAGTGATCCTATTAGGGTTTCCTTTTCTTAATTTGAGGAACGGAGCCCTAAAAACATGTTTAACAAAATAAATGAAATTTAAATTTCTTACACTATAAATAAAAACTTCATTTCATTTTATTTTATAAGACAGTCGCCAAACCCTGATCTACCAAGGTTCTAATACGTTAATGAACACAAACACCATGTTATATTTTTTATTATTGTAAGACATCCTTTACACGTAGTGCAGCCACGCTGCAACATTATTACGGTTTTAGCACGAATCATTCGTCTCGACGGGGAAAAGACCAGAATAACAGTGTAAAATACCAGCTTCATGATGCTATACTTCGTTTGGTGAGTGTAAAGAATCAGATACCTCTTTTACTTCAACACACGCTCACGCATAAACACACGCTTCTATATTTTAGAGTTGATTGGATCATCCATTGGATTGCAATCCATTTTTCGATAAGCTAATCATGTACTCTGAAGGACCCTAGAAGTATGTAAAAGTTAAAGTTATATCCTATATACGTTCCACTGATGGGGATAGGCCTCCTCTCATTCCTGAGAGGGCGATAATACATTATGTAACTACTTACGTTTCTGAGTCGACCGTCGGGAAGTCCGTGTAGATGTTGAGCATTTGTCCACCGAGCACATACCCCAGCGCCGGGCCAACAACCGCCATCGTGTAATATACACCTAGGAGATAAAAAAAATTAAAGATTTGTAATTTTTATAAAAAAATATTACATGAGCCACCAAAATGTCTTGCGAGGTGAGTACACTGGAACAGTATACGTATGGAAAATGAAGGAATCGCTTTGAAAACGGTTTGAAATGCATAGGAGGGAGATTCTTTGTTGACAGTGTTTCCCATGGGAGCGGCATACGATGAGGTGTGCCCTCGTGGTCAAACACTTGTGGGTCCATGATTGCTATGCTTTTATTACCGTTAGCTTTGCGTTACTACGCATTAAAAAAAAGAATATGTCGGATCCCTACACGCGAACAGAGGATACATTTTTGTTTTAAATTATTTTGTTATTACTTTAAAATGTTTGGTTATTAGTTATAGATACTTAATTACAGTCATTAAGACTAAAAATTTCATAATGCAAGGGCAAACCAAGTTTGATTCATTTCAATTCCACCCATGAAAATATATATATATATATACCACTGTATGGATCTACTGTACCTATATACGTTTGGTGTATAGGTACAGTATGGTCGTTTTTTCTATAAAAAAACGACCGTGGAAATGAACGTTCAGCCTAAACGTCACTCGATATGTCGACGTTAAGTATTCTGATGCTGACGATGAGTAATTTTAAAAGAACCAAAGTCTTTGTATGTTGGTTTTTTTTAACAAAACGTTACAAAAATAATTAATTATATGTGGCAATTTATCCACATATCATCGGCTATACCGCAACAAAGTGTCTATACATATGAATTCCGTTACTTGACATGAAATTAATCGAGCCGCGACCGCAAACGCATTTATGATACGACATGATATAGGATACGACAACAGTGCTAGCTTTTTCGGATTATTTTAATGATTCTAGTAAAATCTCAAAAACTGAAAATTTGCTGTTTACTGCTTTTATTAAAATCGTTGAAAGTTCTAAAAATAGAGGTAATCTTCACGACACACACACACACACACACACACACACACACACACACACACACACACACACACACACACGCACGCACGCACGCACGCACGCACGCACGCACGCACGCACGCACGCACGCACGCACGCACGCACGCACGTACGCACGCACGCACGCACGCACGCACGCACGCACGCACGCACGCACGCACGCACGCACGCAAGCACGCACGCACGCACGCACACACACACACACATTTTTTTATAGAATATAATAGGATAGAATAGAATCATTTTATTCAATGTAGATTACAGTACATAACACTTATTGAAAGTCATTTATAGCATAAGTTTAACAAAAAGAGTACACTTTTTGATATGTAGAATGAGTACACTGATATACTAGAATGATTTCATATACTTTATTTAAAGTCTTCAATAGTTTTGTTTAATAACTAAACAATACCTATATTGTATTTTTGTCCTTATCCTAGGACCACGCTCTCACCGAATACCAGCGTAAAATAGCAGCTCAATGCTGCCGTGTTTCGTATGGGAGGTGTAGAGAACCGGACACCTTTTTCTCTGGAAACGAAGCATTCCATCTTGGTTTCTAATGGTGATAACGCATCTGCATTATAATTCTTAATCGAGGATAAATGTAGATATCTATGGGCCACAGCATCCACTTATCATCACAAGTAATCATTTTATTTAAAATCTCTCCATTATTGTGTCGGTTGAGCAAAGTAACACAGCAGTCGACGCGTGTTTGCAAGTTCGATTCACTCAATTCATGAGGTACCCATCGTTCAAGTTTTTTTACTTTCCCGATTTGCTTCAAGTGAATTAACACAGTTTTATCACTTACATCGAAGCCTGCAGCTATCTCTGAAGTGCTTTGTGATGGATCCGCTTCCACATTAGCCTTTAATTGTTCATTATCCACTTTAGCCTCCGGCCGTCCAAGGGGTTGGTTCTGAAGGTCTAAATTTCCAGAAAGGAAACGTTGAAACCCTAAAAACGTACCGTGCTTTCTTTTGCGACACCAGCGCCGTACACATCATTAATCCTTAGAGCTGTTTCTGCAGCACTGGTGCCACGGTAGAACTCGTACTCGTAAATATACCGATATTTCATGTTTTCCATTGTGCGGTAATAAGCGACGCCAAAGAAAAAAATAATGAGGAAAAAACAAATGAATTACTATTTTCAAAACTCAAATGTACCTACCAGCTAAATGAATTTATAAATTTGAATTTGGAATTCTTAACCAAAGAAGAGATATTTCAGATCAAAGTGGTCAGTACAACAAAACGCTAATTTCATATGTAAGGACCCAATATTAATTTTTCATTTGTTTACGATTTGGCGGCAAATTAAACGTTGTCTGCGTCACGTCAGCATGAATTTAACGTGAGAAAATTTTCGTACAATGATTTTTTATGACTTTCTATGTCATTTAAGTCAACAAGAAAGTTATGATAGACTTCGATTCGTCTTTCACGATAAAGCCCTATCTCGTGACACTGTTTACAACCTGTTTAATGAGTTTAAACGTAGTCGCACTAATCACGGCCTTCTACGGCGAGGACTGAAGATAACATCAATGTTGTGCGGCGACCGACAAAAAAGTGACTTATCAGCAGATTCGGACAAGCTTAGGCATCGGTATGAGTCAAATGCACAAAATCCTCCATGAACATTTAGCGGTCAGGAAGCTTTGTGCCCGGTGGATACCTCATAATTTGACAGAGGCCCAAAAGCTCCGTCGTGTTGATTGGTGTCGTGAAATGTTTCAAAGATTTAACGGAGGTGACTCATTGTTATGATCCTGAAACTAAGAGACAGTCTTATGATCCTGAAACTAAGAGACGGTCTGCTGTCTGTGTGTTTCCTTCTGAGGAGTTGCCAACTAAAGTGAAGAGAGGTCGAAGCGTGGGAAAAAAGGTGGTGGCCTCGTTTTTCGGAAGGACAGGTCGTTACGCAACAATTGTTTTAGAGGATCGAAAAACAGTTACTGCAAGGTGGTACACTAACAATTGCTTGCCACTTATCTTGGAAAAAGTTCGGGAGAAACGACCTCGCAGTAGGATCCTCTTTTACTACGACAACACCTTGTCGCACACCGCCAAGTAAACAATCGACTACTTGGCGACGTCAGACGTGGACTTACTGGGTCACCCGCCTTGCGATTTTATTTATTTCCGAATATAAAAGAAAAGTTTCGAGAAAAACGTTTTATGGACGCCGAGGAAGCACGACGAGTGGGCAAAGTGCTTTTCTCGAAGGTTCCATCGGACACTATTTTGAAAACATATAATAAAAGTAATAACTCGCTAGTTCGTTCAGTTTTTGATTTTCTAAGAACTTTCATGTATTATTCTATTCGAAAACTTTAGGGAGACATCAAACCACTATACTATACTAGACTGAATGTATGGATTGGACACTAGTGTTCAAATGTTCGGGCCATAGCGAGTATGAAACGTTTACAGCAACCGTCCGAACACACAGAATGTATATTCTGCGGTTTATTTTATTGTAATTTTTATTGTAATATAATTTAAATTGTTTTGATTATTCGAATTAGCTCCCTTTTGTAGTAATTATTTCGAAGCATCTACCATTAAGCACAGACACAAGAGCATTACCCGCACTCGAGAAAGGTTAATGTTTCCCCCATAACGTTTTCTGTTAAAGATGAAGCATCAGGTGTGCTCCAGACTCGTACAAATTTCGACGCTATATATAGAACGTCTTAAGAATTTCGTCTCTTTTCCTTTGAAGTACCATTTTCTAAATACTAGGACGTGACCTCGTACCGCGCCATGAAAGCAAAACGAAGTGGCGCTCGAAATAACCCTCGAAAATCGGGCTGTTACGGCTTTGTTTTCAATCATTAAATTGAAAAATAAGAAAACAAAAAATCAAAAATACAAAAGTTTTACGCGTCTTTAAAATAAATTTTTAAAAAGTTGAAATGAATAGTTTTTTATACAATAAAGGTGAAACACGAGTACACAGACCAACTAACGGCTTCCTCGATTAAGAATCTAAATGGAGATGCGCTATCACAAGCATTGCATCATTGTCGTCAAGACGACAAAGATGCAATATTTCATTTTCAGTAAGAAGGGTTTCGAAAAAAATACCAAACTCAGCAGATTTAGCTGCTACTTTAAGCTGGTATCCTGTGAGAGCGTGTTTCCTCCCAGGTTGAACGAAAAATCTATTTTTTAAATTTGTGGCAGCGCTAGCATCGCGCCACTAGCGAAAATAGATCTAAGCCTAAATCGCGCCTTCAAGGTTCCGAAGTAAAATTAATATATATAGAATACTCAGGACTACCACTCAAAAGCGTTGGGATGAACACATTGGCCGGCGGGAGACCTACCTTTTTCCTACCACGGCCACAAATACTACAGCTGCAACCAGGCTGATTAATATGTGTGGTGAATAAATTTTAATATATTTTTAAAATCACATCATGCGATTTAGTAACGATACAGTAAATTTTAGCAGTAGTCTCATACAGAAGGCGATTAGTATTTTTTTTTAAATAAACTGATATTTTTTATGTCAGTTTGCCTTGAGGACATCTTGACAAACAGCTATCCTTTTACGAAAGTATATTTAACAAAAGAATGAATAGCTTAGCTTTTAGTGTACGGAAGCTTAACCCGCATCTCTCGATACCTTGAGAGGCACACACTGCGCCCTGAATGCCCGGCCCGCCCTTTACCCTCCCTTGAATACTCTCAGCCTCAATGGACGGAAGTGGCTGTGGGAACGACGGCTAATGGCATTTCGATTTGCTACTTACACCTCTGTGTTTATGTCGATGTTATTCTAAATTCTTGGCAGTAAAGCTATGTCTAAAAATAATGTAAATGCTTTTATGTGTTGATAAAATTGCAATATTTAATTGAAAAATTAATAATTACCTAAGTTAATAAGGGTGAGGCAAACAAATTGAATTTCTATTTAATGGAAATCAGTCATACTGTTTATAACTTACATAAAACTTCTTATGAAATTAATGTGTATGTATATATGTAAAGTTACAGCGTATATAATATTATTAGAGCTTTTTATTTGGTTGTATGTGTACAAATGTACAAAAGAAGATTATCTTAGCGTAAAACATACCTTTGTGTAACAAAAGTAAGGAGGTGAGATGAGATTGTAGTGATTTGTCACCGCTGGTACTCTGTCAGAGCAGACTTTTTAATCTATATATACCAAGGACACTCTTTAAATATATGTTCCACTGTTGGGCACGGATCGGGTTATATTGCAATTAGTCTGCCGCTAGAAAATTAATTAATATTTGGAGATATTTTATTATAAAATATAAGAAATATTTTATTCCTCAGGCATGCAGATTTTCTAACGACGTTTTCCTTCATCGCCGTGTACGTAATAATTATTGTTTTATAGAATAAGAGTGACAAACGAGCACACAGTCCACCTGTGGATAATAAGTTAAATAGTAAGTGGATGCTGTGACCCATAGACACCTACATTTATCCTCAATTAAGAATCAAAATGCAGATGCGTTGTCACTCCTGAGGACTGCGATGGAATGCTTCGTTTCCAGTAAATAGAGTCTCCGGTTCTCTACACTCACCATAGGAAACACAGCAGTGTTAAGCTGCTATTTTACGGTGGTATTCTGTGAGAGCGTGGTCCTACCCCGGTCGAGCTGACCCATTCATGCTGCAACCACAATATATCTGCAGCATGGCTCTACCATGTAAGTGGGCACTTAAATGGAAATTAACAATTTCATTGGTGTCAGCGGGGATCGAACTCAAGTTCACGATTTATAAAGTTTATGGCAAGCGTCCAGTACCCCTAAGCTCAGGATACTACAGGATACAGTTATCAACCTTTCGTGTTCGAAAGATTTATCGTAAATGCTTCCTTTAAAACATTTGACGATCGCATATTGCCATATTGCAACCTACTGCAACTGCTATAATATGTAACATTAGCATATTTTGACTTTGTTTATAAAATACATCGAGTGACAAACGAGCACACAGTCCACCTAATAGTGAGTGGAGGATTGTGTGGTCGATAAACACCTACATTATCCTTGATAATACATCAAAATGAATTTAAGGTAAAATGACGAATGATGATGACGAATTAATAAATCTCATGTTCCGATCGAACACATTCACGGCCGATAAAGACAAATAAATAGTATAGCTTTCACTGTGCATCGGGCTTTTAGCGTCGCACTCGTAGCCGCTTTTAGTTGAGAAAACAGTGCGCCGGTGAAGGGTTTTAAGAAATGCGATACCGCAACGTTTTACAGTTGCGATTTTTCGCTGTTTGCCGAACCTGGGACAATGTCAAGGGTGTGAAGAGCGTGCTCTCCAACGGTAATGGGCACATTCGTCACTTGAACTGTGTTTGTCGCGCCCCTATCAAACATTCTTGCGAAAGGAAGTAATATTAGATACATAAGTGTTTCGCCCTACTGTCAATAAAAAAATTTTTGTTTAGTAGTATATCAATTTATATGGCATTTTATATAGGATAGTGGTGACCAACGAGCACACAGTCCACCTGATGGTAAGTGGTTGCTGTGGTCCATAGAGATCTATATCTATCCACGATGACGAATCAAAATGCAGATGCGTTATCACTCGTGAGGACTAAGATGGATTGCCTCGTTTCCAATAAAACGGGTATTCGGTTCTCTACACTCAACATACAAAACACAGCAACGTTAATCTGCTATTTTACGCTCATATTCTGTGAGAGCGTGGTCCTTCCTCTTTGTCTGGTCGACCCGACCAATGAGGGCTGATAATTTTCTGCTCACCAGATGTCGCTAGTTGACACTGAGCTAAAGTTTTTGTTACGCAATGTCATTTAATTGAGAAGTTACTTTTTAATAAAAGTTTATCAGTTTTTAGTGTTATATTAATACACAAATCAATGCTTCAGTGGTTTGCTCTTTAATTTTTTGCACATTTTAACCTTTTTTTTTAATTTTTCTACTTTTGTGAATATCTGTTGCTCGGTTTATTTATTTTTTAATCTAATTAATATAAAATATAACTAATAGTACAGAAAGAAACTTTGACAAAAAAATTAACTTCCCCCGCCCTGGTGGCAGAAAAAGTCGTAGATGTCTTCATTCATGCTACAGCCATGCAGCTACCACCTATTTCGACAAGGTTCAGTTGCATTTTGATCTCTATCAAACATGTAAAGCTAATAATGTTGGATAATGGCCCTTGCTACACGAGTTAATCAAACGAACAATTTCATTAAGGATGAGCATCAACATTGTGTTATTTATTATTGCGTAACATCCTTTTCTAAAACATAGTTAGTATTCGCGACTTGGGAAATACGAAACGGGTAAAATTATTGCACATACCTAATATTAGCATCCAAGGAATGTATGAATATGTATCGATGTGCTTAAAGCTTCGTCTAAAATTGAGACTTAGGTCTCACATAGTTACTCCCGCGTTGAGCGACTCGTGGCTTTTAGGGCTTAATGACGTAATATAAGTTCAACTACGCAGTTATTATAAAAGCCTTTAATATGCTCCCGACACGTTAGGGTCACAGCTGCAGCGAGTGCTTTTTCATGTACAGACCGTAACGGCTCGCATAACGCGATATTATGTTATAATATCATAAGCAACAAGTATTTCTGTTATGATGTAGGTGAGTTTAGAAATAGAAAGTACTATTTTAAGAGTTTACTACTTATTTTTATTTATTTTATAGGATAGGGTGACAAACGAGCACACAGTCCACCCGATGGCAAGTGGCTGCCGTGACCCACAGACATCCACATTTATCCTCAATAAAGAATACAAATGCAGATGCGTCGTCACCCGTGAAGACTAAGATAGAATGCCTCTTTTCCAGTAAAATGGGTCCCCGGTTCTCTACACTCATCATACGAAACACAGCAGCGTTGAGCTGCTATTTAACGCTGGTTTTCTGTGAGAGCGTGGTCCTTTCCCGGTCGAGCCAACCCATTCGTGCTACAACTATACTACTAATATAGCTGGAGCGTAAAAATACTTAAGAATCGACTTTCATATATCTGTATTTTTTTATAAAATAATGCTGTGGATAATGATCTACATATATCCTCGAATCATAAGGCATATGGGTTGCCACCCCTGAGAACTAAGAAATGCCTCGATTCCAGTTAAAAGGGTCTCCGGTTCACACTCACCATACGAAACACAGCAGTGTTAAGCTGCTATTTTACGATGGTATTCTGTGACAGCGTGGTCCTTCCCCGGTCGTGCAGACCCATTCGTGCTACAACCATAATATAGCTGCAGCACGGCTCTACCACGTAAGTGCTGTCGTTATGTTGCCCCTGGATTATGTATATAATGATTATTCGCTGCTAATTGGAAGTGGAAATAAGCACACTGGTAAAATATCAGTAATGTGAAGCACCCTCACTACGGGAAGTCTGCAGTATGTCAACATGTTCAGGATCTTGCCAACCATTATATCAGATTTGGTAGACCACAAATCCTCGCAAAAGTAGGTCGGTTCTTACCAAGAATAATTAGCGAGGATACCGAAACTAAAAACATCCTTACTTCAATAGAGAAAATGGCTCGGTATTAGCATGTGCTTGAGGTTGCATAATTAATAAAATTAAATCCAAACCCATGCACATTACTGCAAGACTTCAAAATATTGTAAGCTCGGCACATACGTACGTAGCTCAGACCAAAATTATTTAAAATTTAAGGTTAGATTTCGTTAATTATGACGTCAGGGCGTCAAACAATTTGAAATTATGCGCGATAAAATCCTCTAAATTAGTTTTATTCAATGGTTACCTCTATGTTTATGCATCTGTGACATTAGTGCAAAGGCGTAGGAGCCCTTCGCGGTAAATAACTTTTAAAAGTCCATCCAAACATCATTTTGCTTACCCAGGTATACTGAAGACATCTTCTTGGAAACATTTTCGTCGATGTAGGTGACGCCGAGTGTGAAGAGCGGCGTGGCGCCAGCGCCGTGCAGAAGTTGGGCGAATACGAACACCCCCACCGCCCAAGCACCACCCTCGGATGTGGAGTCCGAATCGCAGTGGTTCATAGACTGCGGAGAAATTGCCATAGTAGTAGTACTAAGTGATGGGACTTCTTTTCTCTGCGAAGAAATTGCTATAGTAATACCAAGTAAGTAATACCAAGCGATAGGAAATCTTTACTGCATAAGGCTCAGCGTCCACTAGGCTCGCCGAGCCGAGTCGAATCGAATCGCAGAAAGTCGCCTCCTATATATTTACTATGAAACTGCGTCCATTAGGTCGGCCACATACATATGGAATTCCGTTTCAGGATTCCGTTTCGGAACTCCGAACGGGTCGGCCACACACATACGGAATCCCGTTTTGCCCGCAAAATTTCGAACGGAAAACTACCGCACGTGTGTGACGGGTCATAGATTTTATTTGAACTTGCTGCGTTCGGAATCTCGAATCGGAATATCGAAACGGAATCCCGAAACGGAATTCCGTATGTATGAGGCGGGCCTTAGCGACGAGTCGCGGCGCGCCGAATTGATTCGACCGCGCGAATTGCTTGACAGGCGAATTTCTTCGCCGGTGCGATTCGTTTCAACTCGGCGCGCTTCACTCGCAGTGTTGCAAAAGTTCCCGATTTATCCAGAGATCTACTGATTTTAAATAGTATCTCCCGATATCCCGATTTAGCGACCATGTCTCCCGATTTTTTTGCATTTTCAATAATTCTAATATAATATAATATTCATAAATAAAATTGAAAAGTAATATTCTAAATACGACAACACTAAAATGAACCATTAACACAAAATCTATGTACGGCGACTTGCCATAGTTGCTCGCACCACGACTTACCCTTATTAGGTTTTGAACTTCGCGGTATGCTTAAAGCATATTGCACTAAAACATCCTTTTTTCATTTATTCAAAATATTAAAGAAAAAACAAAGTGAATTTTTTTTTAGCCCTACAGCAGAAACCACACACTGTTTAGTTGCTGTGGTCTATTAACTATAAGCTATTATCTTATATAAAACTATTATTGATAATAATGGTAGATTTATATATTTATTAACTAATCAGCTAATCACTAAGTAGATTAATAAATATGTAAATTTGAGATAAATCAGATAAAATATAGTTCATTATTGTCTGGTAAGTATACGGGGGAGATCCCTAAAGATTATTTTGTTCAGGTTGTTTTTCGAATTAGGTACTTTAACCCATGTATATTATATAGTTTTGTTCGTTCATAGAATTGCATTCACTAATTACTGGTCTTCTTCTGATGTGTTGTGAACTGTTGTGCTTTATGTCCAAATTTCTTAGAGAGTAATAGTTATCAATAAATTTATTTAAAATGGCGTTTGCTTCTAATTACGAAAGAAATTAAATCGCTCAGTGAAAAAACAGCAGAATTTTGGACAACCGTGAGACACGAAAAATATATAATCATTAAATTTTAGTTTAAATTATATAGACATTATTTTGATCGAAAAAAAATTGAAACGAGAAAAACGACATCTAAAAGAACCTGTTTTATGATACATTTCTAAACCCATGGATGTAAATACAAATCTCCCGATTTCTCCCGATTTTTAGCTGGCAAATCTACCGATTTTTTATTTTTCATTTTTGCAACACTGCTCAGTCGACGCGGAGAAGCGGTTGCGTGCTAACGTATTTTTATTAATTTCTATTTCATTTTCGTAAGAATCTTTTTGTTTAAATAAAAATGAATGAAGAAAATAAATCTTTTAGAAAAATTTACTTCGCAAATATCCGCGTTATAAAATAAAATGATGTGTCTTACCTAGTACGAAAAGCACCTCCCGCCCTCCCTCAATTGCGTGCACTATCCCCGTCACCACTAATCCCAGCACCACTACTCCCAACACCACTACACTAGGCAAGACACACCACTGACGATAATACGACACGTGTTTCGCCTCTACACGAGGCATCCTCAGGTGATATAGACTCTTCGGTGGCTAACCGCTAAGTGATGTCTTGCCTAGTGTAGTGGTGTTAGGAGTAGTGGTGCTAGGATTAGTGGTGACGGGGATAGTGCACGAAATTGAGGGAGGGCGGGAGGTGCTCTTCATACTAGGTAAGACACATCATTTTATTTTATAACGCGGATATTTGCGAAGTAAATTTTTCTAAAAGCTTTTATATAATGGATTTCCGCAAAGTAACGCCTGATTCTATTAATTAAATGAATGAAGAACTATTGTTATCATTGGTCCAACAATATCCAGATTGTTTAATCATGAAGATCCACATTATCACTATGAAGATGAATCGACCTATTTTGATGAAGAATTTGCGATGAATGAACAATTCGATTCGATTCTTCAAAGATGGACGCATTAGGAATGAATGAGACTCGCTTCGATTCGACGCATTTCTGCTGTAGTTGACGCCAAGCTTAAGAGTCCGTCGGGGTAGGTACCACCCTAATACCTCGGATGTGGAGTCCGAATCGCAGTGGTTCATAGACTGTTGAGAAATGTGGCTTCAGGGCATACTTCCAAAAAATATCATCGTATACTAGGTGGTACGTCTCCTCTTCTCTCTTATAGTCCGTCTGGTTAGCTACCACACAGTGCTCGCGCTGCTGTGTCTGATCTGAAGGTATAAGAGAGCCCGTAGGCAGGCTGCGAGGCATTCCATCTTAGTACACAAAGTTGATAACGCAATATATGCGTATATAACCTTCTTACTTGAAGTTGGCTTAGTTTTATAGAAGAAAATGTCAGGAGCCGTAGATCAAGGAGTAAGCCTCAGCTTACGTTATTATCTTGTATTTTACTATTTCATCAGCTCCTTAAAATTCACAGTTGGACATGGACTCTCATTGGCCATTGAGAGTGTTTTCTCAATCTCCATCGCCAGCAGGCGGATTGGCTTATCAGACGGCACGCACCCTCGACGCTATTCCCCGACTGGGTATTTTACGTCCAGCTACAACGTAATGGTTATACAGTAATCGGAAGCCAAGTGATGATCTTTTTCTACCGATTTAAAAAAGGAGCCGGTACTCAATTCGACTGTATGTTTTTTTTATGTGTGTTACCTCATAACTTCTTACTGGGTGAACCAATTTTGGTGATTCTTTTTTTGTTTGAAATCTGGTACTTCCCATGTGATCCCATTTAAATTTGATCAAGGTCTGACCAATCGTTTTTGAGTTATTCTTAATAATTTATATTGTAGTCGGTTTTACAAAATTTTTTATTTTTAATTATCTATAGTGACAAGAGTTACGAACGAGCAAACAATACGCCTCGTTATCAGATAAAAGGGTCTCCGATTCTCGTCACACGTGTATTCTTTTTTTTTATAGGAGAGGGGGCAAACGAGCATGCGGCTCACCTGATGGTAAGTGACTACCGCCGCCCATGAACAACTGCAACACCAGGGAGGGAATTGCAGATGCCTTGCCGGCCTTTTAAAAAGGAGTACGCTCTTTTCTTAAAGGTCCCTAAGTCGTATCGGTCCGGAAAAATCGCTGATGGTAATTGATTCCACAAGGAAGTCGTGCGAGGAAGAAAACATCTAAATCGCACAGTGGTGGACCGCCCATCATCCAGATGGTGTGGGTGGTATCGGGAGTTCTGCCGCGATGTGCGTTCGTGAAATATGGCGGCTGGCATTAATCCGAACAATCTCTCAGAGCACTCCCCATGGTAGATGCGAAAGAAAATGCAAAGGGATGCAATATTTCTTCGCAGTGCCAATGAATCGAGCCGATCGGAAAGGACTCGGTCGTCGATGATTCGAGCCGCTCTGCGCTGGATGCGGTCAAGCGGAAGGAGCTGGCACTGGGGAGCCCAGAGAGACGGGAACAGTATTCCATGTGAGGCCGAACCTGCGCCTTGCATTCTGTGCGAGCATGGTCATTCCTCTTTCCTAGTTGACCTTTTCCTGATGAAACCATACACTGTAGCGCGGTAGTACATATATCATTCCAGTGTAACCCACAGTCGCCTCTTACGACACCCAACGAAATGGGGCGATAGGTAGATCCTCTTAGGCCTCCACAACATGGTACGGTTGCGGCTGACTCTTCAACAGAAAAGGGGTTATTCGTTTCTCTACACACACCATACGAAACACAGCTAGGCATTCGTGTTCCACTCATTATACGACTGCAATATAATTCCACAACGTATGTAAGGACCATATTGTCATCAAGTAAAGCTACATCTTATATATGTCCCACTGAGCACAGGGGACTGTGCTACTGTCTACTGTTGTGTGTCTACTGTTCTACTGTGTCTACTGTTTTCTGAAAGAGTTTTAGGGTAAAGGTAGTACCACCGCGCAATCGCAATGCGTGTGAACGGAATTCACTTTTTCAGATTATTTGTTTTAACTTCTCAGATGTGTAGGTTTCCTCAGGATGGTTTCGTGCATCTGCGAACACTAGGTAAATCAGCGCTTGAAATTGCAATTAAAATTTAAAATAGCTGCTTCATGTTGCTGCGTTTCGTATGCTGAGCGTAGAGAATCCAAGACCCTTTTTACTGGAAACGAGGCATTTCAAGTACTTTAAGATGACAATGCAATTTGATTCTTAATCGAGGATAAATGAAGGTAGACAATAGACATCTTCATCTATCCTAAGTATAGCATCCATTTACCATCAGGTGGATTGTGTGCTCATTTGTCAACCATATTCTATAAAAAAACGACAATTTAAGGAGAATAAAGACGCGACCTCCCGTGATTAAAGCGACATAATGGAACCGGTTTAGACAAGAGATCGGCTATACCTATTTAATGTAAAGGTTTTTAACGTGTAAGAAACAATGAGTAAAACGCATTCGCTTCAAAAATAACTTCGCTAATGCCATAGAACTGGATTAATTACAATTAAAGGGAATAATTATCTTTAACCGGTTTTTATGTCTTATATGCTTCATTTTTCTTTTATATTTCCATCAAATTGTTCGTTTAAAAAATTCAATAATTCTGTGGTGTTAGTGTGATCTTCATTTAACCGAAAATTAAAAACTAGATGGCAGCACATATGCTCGCAGAACAGATACATGGACGTTACGCCATGATTCGAATTCAAAGACAAAAACTCCTCTATGGCAGCATTGAAAGTCACCTTGAAGGGCACCCATAACTTGTGCTACTATTTTTTATTTTATCACGCCGTAGAGCTATGCTACAGCTATTTTGTGGTTGCAGCAATGGGACGACTTGACCGGGGAACGACCACGCTCTCACAGAAATGAGGTATTCCATCTTAGTCCTCAGGGATGACAACGCTTCTGCTGCTGATTCTTAATTGGGGATAGATGTAGATGTCTATGGGCCATAGCATCCACTTACCCACCATCAGGTGAACTGTGTGCTCGTTTATCATACTTATTCTATAAAATAAAAATAAAATGAAAAAATTAACAAGCTCACAATAGTCCTGTTAGGTATGCAGAGATCCTCGGGCTCGTCTCCGGCGATCCTGTACGGTGGTACGAGAAAGTGTGGCAGCGCGAAGATCAGCGAGCCTGTACCCATCAGCAGTACGCCCCAGCCCAGCCAGCGAGGCTTGGAGGAGCCCATTCTGCCGCCCAGATACGTGACTGGTGCGAGGCACGCGAACGACGCCATGTCATAACTATAGAGGAAGAAAGCTAAGAGTTTTTAACTTGTACGTAGATACACAGAATATTCGTATTGGATATTTATTTGGATATTACCCACTGCTAGACAAAGTTGTCCCCAACGGAATTACACTAAGCACGGTCCTGAGCCACCTGCGTCCATCGAGTTTCTGTATTACCAGGTCGACTGTCTACTGGTACGACTGTCTTACCAGGTCGTCATAATATCAAGTGCAGCGGGCGTTCTACTCCACCGCTCTGGGACTCTTCTTTATATGTTCGGCCCATTTACTTCATTATTTACACTTCAGATATCAGTTCATTTCACTTCAGGTTACATACGGTAATTTATGATCTTGTGTTATCCGTACGGTTCGGTGTATGGGTCACCCGACTTTGTTCAGGTAGGCGTGACGTGGTTGAACGATCATGTACTACCCGCATTAATTATGCTTTCTGATACGTTACAGATATATTTATACCGTTTGTGATGCCCTATAAGCCATAAGCCGTTTAAGTAAATGTGATATACGGTTTTGCTCCTTACACTAAGTCAGTGGTTGTTAACCGGTGGTCCGTGGATCACTGGTGATCCCAGTGGTTCTCCATGTCCATGGATCACCAGTCCATAAAGGCATCAAAAGCATTATACATTTCTAGCTAGCTCGTGTTCAACATTCTTGGCGATGATGGTCGGTTTGCGAATACTAACTTGATAACATTGACCTTACATTAAAACAAGGAAGCATAATGATGTCACACATTGATTTTGGGGAGTTTTATTTATAGAAATAGAAATGTGTGGATTTCACACACAGCAGAAGTTAAACCTTCAGAAAACTTCGAGAGAATGAGACGAATGCAGAGTACCAGAAGTAGGATAATTGTAGGGTTTATTTATTATAATACTAGCTGTTCCCCGCGACTTCGCTCGCGTGTTAGGGTTTTTATGTTTTTGCGCGGAACCCTGATTCTTTTTCGAAAATAAAAGTAGCCGAAGTTACTCCTTATGACATCAGCTATCTGCCAGTGAGTGCCGTCAAAATCGGTTCAGCCGTTACGGTGATTAGCCGGACCAAACAGACAGACAGACAGACAAAATTTAAAAAAAATGTATTTTAGTTATAAGTACCGTATTTACTTTCATATGCATTTAGTAAAACGCTGTAATTTTCACATTACAAACAGACACTTCAATTTTATTTATTTGTATAGATAATATTTACATCACTAAGTTTAAATTTATTTTACATATTATGCAGACTCCAAGTTTTCAATTTCATCATCATAAGCACTTAAATATTTTCCAATCAACAAATTTCGTCCTTAATCTTTACTGCTCAAATATCACATGTACCTATTTCCAATTATAATATCCGTACGTAATAGGAAACACTGTATAATGTATTCTGTTTCATTCTCTCGCAGGTTAAATCCTATAGATGTATGTGTTTGTCTCCTTTTAGTGTTGCTTTTTCATCGACCTTGAAATCAAAACGATTCTAAAGAAGTTTCCACTTTAAAAACTTAAAAATCTACCTTTCCACAATTTATATTATGCGTAAAATTTGGTGGTCTGCAGCAAGCTAAAAATAAATTAATAATGTTCCCTCATCATTAAAAGGTTAAAGATCATTGCTCTCAGTGATAGACAATCAGCTGGAGCATCCAATGCTTTTATATAAAACAAAAGTGACAAACGAACTCATTGCCCACCTGATGGTAAGCGGTTACTCTAGCATATACACAACTGCAACCAACTTCAAACAAAGAAGGCTACATATGCGTTGTCACTTCTGAGGCTTAGGATAGAAAGTCTCACAGCCTGTAATTATAACAATAATCAGTTAGGAAACGAAAATAAATTGATTTTTATACACTGTTGATAGTTACCACGTTTTTATGAACTCGCTTTCGTGTATGTCTGTTCGGGTCAAATTAAGTAATTGATTTTTAATTAACTTCCAGATGAGTTGAAGTTTTAAAATTTTAAACATAGCTCAGAATCAGATAACAATGTAATAATATGAAAAAAAAAACATGGTAGTGTATAAAAAATACATGTTTATTTTTTAAATTTCCTTGTTTAGTATTTTATTCAATTTTATTAAATAACTAAAAACAAATAGTGACAGATGTTAATGTATTCATAACCGCTTTTGTTATCGCAATGAATTAAAGAAAAAATGGAGTTATAAATTTCTACGATGTATTCGTCATTAATTTTAATATCGTAATCTGAAAAGTTGAACGTAACTTATTATAGAATTGATGACTCAAACTAGAACTCCGTGGCAGTTTACCGTGTTTTTTTTTTATAGAATAAGGGTCACAAACAAGCACACAGTCTAGCTAATGGTAAGTGGATACTGTGGCGCATAGACATCTACATTTGCGTTGTCACCCCTGAAGACTAAGATGAAATGCCTCGTTTCCAGTTAAAAGAATCTCCAGTTCTCTACACTTACCATACGAAACACAGCAACATTACATCATCCTATCGAGCCGTCCAGTTCACACTACAACCATAATATGAGTATTGCAGCATCGTGGCTCTACCACGTTCTGCCACGTTCTTCCCTGTAGTGGCGGTGTAAGAATATCCAAAACCTAATATATATCAACCTGTGGGTTTCGGTAACAAACCAGGAGATGTTTAACACCGTCTTCTTAAAAACAACTAGGTAATAATAAAAAGGCTGGTTTAAGCTTACTTAAGCATAAGATACCCATATGAGGCAAAATAGAATATGGAATAGAGCCATGGTAGTTCACGTGCTGAGCTTCCACCTTACATTTCATAGTTTGCAAGCAACTTGTATTGAATCTCCGTCAACTCCATTTTAATAGTTGATTAACATACGACGGTAGTAGAAATACATCGTGAAGGAAACCTGCATGTCCGTGAGGAAAATTATAAATATTATGGGGATTTGAGAAGTATTCCCAATTCACACCGGAGCTACAAACTTTTTCTCAATCCACCTGCTCCTTGTAGGTTGTGTTGTTGCAAAAATCAGAGCAAGTCTGTTTCCAACCAAGTGATAGAGCTACGCTACAGCTATATTATGGTTTTAGTACGAATTCCAGCGTAAAATAGCAGCTTTATGCTGCTGTATTTCGTATGATGAGTGTAGAGAACCGGCGACTCTTTTTTTTACTGTAAACGAGACATTCCATTTTAGTCGTCAGGGGTAAACGCATCTGCATTTTGATTCTTAATCGAGAATATATGTAGATGTCTATGAGCTACATCATTCGCTTATCATCTGGTGGACTGTGTGGTGTGTGCTAGTTTGTTCCCGGATTCTATAATAAATATCTTTGTTTAATATTTTGAAAAGGAGAACAAAATTTTGTCGAATTAGTTGCTACAAGCTACAACTTACCCTCCTGCAATAACGCCCGTCTGCATTGATCGGAGACCAAATCGCTTCTCTATTGTAGTGATTACCACGTTCACGAACCCATTCACCACCATACCTGGTAACAAAAAAGTTAAATTGAAGAGTAAAGTAATAATTTGACGTATACTTTCGGATAGCAGTTACCAGCTACTTAAATCCAAAGTCAAAAAGAACATTAGGATTTTAATCTATACAAATAAATAAAATTGAGGTGTCTGTTTGTAAAGTCAAAATGGGTTTTTACTAAATGCATATGAAAGTTCATAGGGAACTTATAACAAAAACAATTTTTTTTATTTTTTACCTGTCTGTCTGTCTGTTGTTCCAGTTAATCTCCGAAACGGCTGGACAGATTTCGACGGGACTTTCACTGGCAGATACCTGATGTTATAGGGAGTAACTTAGGCTACTTATATTTATAAAAAGAATTAGGGTTCCGCGCAAAAAAAATTAAAACCCCAAATTACACGCGGAGAAGTCGTGGGGAACAGCTAGTTTATAATATAAAGAAAAATAGATATTGGTATATTTGTTTGAAATGAATGGGCTTCGACACCGTTTGACCCATCACCATGAAATTGTGTGTATTCGTGGAGGAGGTTTTTATGCTATCCACTTTGTTGTAAGTCACCACTAGAAGGCACAGCAGCACATCCACTTCTATACCGATACCGGTACCGATGAAAGAAACGCCATAAAAGTTGGTATGACACAGGTAAGTCAACGTCTACCTGCTTTTTCTAGTGTCATATATGAGAGAATCTTCTAACTTTATATGATATATTTCGATATGACGATGATTTTGGTCGACTTTTTTTGTTCAAATTTAAAATGAATTGAAGAAGATACGAAGGGTGGAGTACGGGGCGGGGTAGGAGGGAAAAGACAGAAAAAATAAAAGTGCTCATGGCACATGAGAAACACTAATTTTACATGACCGATTTTATTTCAAAATAGATGGCGCTGTACATATACATTCATAATATAAAAATGAATCGCTGAATGTGTTGCTAAGCGCAAATCTCGAGAGCAGCTGAACTGATTTCGCTAATTCTTTTTTTATAACATTCCTTGAAGTACGAAGATGGTTTTTACGGAGAGAAAAATTTGAAAAATTGCCTGAAAAAGTCTAAAAACAACACTTTTCTATATTCCCATACAAAAGATTCGTAATAATACTTAAAAGTCAATTTGAACTTTAATACCATACCATAAAGTTTAAGGGGAAGCGGGAAGGCAAACAATTGAGTGACGTTAGTATCGTATAAATATTAATGTCAATATTTATAAAATGGTAACATTACTCAAAAACAAAATTAGGGTTCCGCGAAAAAAAATTGATATCCGTGAAATCGTAGTAAATTCCACGCGGGCGAAGTCGCGGGGCACAGCTATTATCTAATATTCTGTATAACTTTAAAAATAATATAATTAAAATTGTCATGTGCTTTATCTTCAGAGTAATTACATACAATGTATTACTCCAGTATACACTGAGGCTTTATCACAAGCCTGACAACGTCAATATAAAACATCAGGTAGCAATGCAGTCCGATTAAATGGCAAGCAGGTTTTATGTAACGAACAAAAATAACTCGTTTCTATTAAAGTTTCATATGCAGTGACTGGACGGATGGACAGACAGGCCGCTGTACTGAAATAGACGAGTGCACGACGCTTTTCCATTAATCCCGATTCATTGGTTAGTCGAAATATTTGCAGGTTTATAAAAACTTATAGCTCAGTCAAAAATATTAATTCTTTTTACGTTCCAACGTTTTTTGAGCCTGCTGTATACCTCGAGTAGAGGTTTAATAATTTTGATCCATCAAATTCAAATAAGAATTCGGCAGAAATTTGTTAATATAATGTTATAATTAATAAGCTGACATACATGTGGAAAAGAAATTGCGTGCACAATTATTTTCAATATCACTAGCCCCATTATCCGACTTGTTATATCCCGTAGTGTACTCAAAAGGGTCAAAAAATGTAACTTAGTAAATAGTAAAAGCAGACTTTAAGTAACTAATTGGAATAAAATAATTTCCAGGCAATTGCTTCTAAATCCAGACTTTAATTCATCCACAACCTGTTATGTACATTATCAGAATCAATATTCAAAAAAATAATTTAACTTCAGAAAACTAGACCATAAAAATATTTGTAAATAGTATGTGATTTTACTACCACTGGATAAGGGTCACAAACGAGGACACAGTCCACCTGATGGTAAGTGAATGCTGTGACCCATAGACATCTACGTTTATGAAATAAAATGCAGATGCGTTGTCACCTCTGAGGATTGAGATGGAATACCTCGTTTCCAGTAAAAAGGGTCTCCGGTTCTCTACAATCACCATACGAAACACAGCGGCATTAAACTGTTATTTTACAATGGTATTCTGTGATAGCGTAGTCCTACTGCGGTCGAGTCGACTCATTCGTGCTACAACCATAATATAGCTGCAGCGTGGCTCTACCACGTATATTATACTCTCTACCTCTATACATATACGATTTATTATCGGATACTATGTCTTAGCACATACTTCTGAAGCTATTACGTGGAAATTATTTATTTTTATTTTTAGTTCTTTAAAGTCGACTTTAAATTTTTATCAAATGCCAAATTTTTAACATTACTACGAACTTCTAAAAGAGAGTTTTTATTATATGTAGGATTATAATTAAAATATATTTACTCCCAGTTTAAATTTGGAATAGAAATTACTAGATAGTGCTATGCATCTCAAAGTTGAACTATTAGTAGGGAAAGTACCGGACCTTTTATTACTAACTATAGCAACCACATGTAGAGAAACTTCTTTCAACTACTTTCAACTTTTTCACGCAGCATACTTCCATGCGTATTCACTGTGCGATATTAATTTTAAAATACTTTTCGTATTCACCCGCCTGATTACTTACTCTTGTGATCTTTTTTAAAGTGAACCTTATTTACTTGGCGGTTTATTAGACTTCATAAATAGAAGGATCTATATTTATCGTTATCGTTCATCACCATCATCATTACAGCCCTTCACAAGTCCACTGCTGAACATAGGCCTCCCCCAAGGGATGCCACAAAGCACGGTCCTGACCCACCTGCATCCATCGACTTCCTGCATGTCTTACCAGGTCATCACTCTATCTAGTGGGGGGTCACTCTATACTTCGCCTACCACACGAGAACCTTTTTTCTCCATCGGTTATCGCGTGTCTTCAAGCTAAATGGCCGGCCCATTGCCACTTCAGCTTACCAATCCGTTAGGCTACGTCAGTCACTCTAGTTCTACAGCGGATATCCTCATTTATAAGTTTATCACGCAGAGAAACCCCGAGGAATAGCCCTCTCCATAGCTCGCTGAGCGACCTTGAGCGTCTTCATACGGCCATGTTATCAATCGTTACCGTTACAGCCTATTAAAGTCCACTACTGAACATAGGTTTCCCCCATAGATTGTTTCATACATCTTTTGAACCTTGACAAGCGGGTTGGCAACCACAGTTTATTTTTTATTTTTAGACGCTGCTGCACTTTTACGCGTGATATTAATTAAGAATGATTTTTATATTTTTTCTATAAATAAAACTAAACCCCAATTAATGTGTGACATCATTGTGCGCCCTTATTTTAATATAACGCCAATGTAGTCAGGTAGTATTCGCAAACAGAGCATCATCTCCAAAAATGTTGTACCCTCTTTTATATTAGAGAGAAATGTGTGATGCCTTGGGAATCACTTTGTATGCCTTTATGTACCACTGGTTGAGAAACACTGATATAGGCTGTTAAACATATTCCACGACTCTTATGCTGTACTTTAAAAGCTCAGTGAATAGCTCAAAAAATATTTTTTTTTCCTTCTCAGTGTTTTACATGTATTTGTTCATGAATGTTATGTACACTTGTTATTGGTATACATATCAGTGTGCGTGTTAATTTTCATATAATTTAGTGTGTTGATGTTTATTAATTATTATGTATATTGTGAAATAAATGAAATAAATAAATGATGAATCTAATAAAAATATCGTTTACTCAACGCCCTATATAATTAATTTTCATTTCATTTTCGTTCTATTCAATTTCCTCACAAGTAAAAGCGTCCAACATAATGTCCATTTAAAATGATTCGCAAAATTCGTCGGGAGTAAACACTACGATTAAGGGACATTATCCGCTGAGATGATTAATTAGCTGTTCTTGTGTAATTTGTGTAAAATCACGCTCCCTGTGGGGCTCTTTGTTAGTGTTATCGGTCTTTATACAATGGCGACGCCACGCACACACTCATAAACTAATACCTACCCTTACTAATCTATCTATAGAAAAATCAAATCTATTTCAAATTTATACGTGGTAGAGCCACGCTGCAGCTATAATTATCAGGGTCCGGTCGAGTGCACCTATGCGTGCTACAACCAAAATATAGCTGCAGCAGGTCTGGACTGATTTTGATAAGAGTTTTGTGTGCATAAGTAGGTCCCTGGATGATTTAAACCATAGTTGAGTCTGTGCTATGTAATACTTAAAAAATAAAAATAAAATAATATGTTAACAAAAAAAGATTATTTAAAAGATAATAGAATAGTACTTATATGTTATAATTCCATTCTATTCTAATAATTACAACACACATTAGAATAGAATAGAATATAACAATTTTTATTAAATATAGATTACAGGAATACATATTGAAAGTAATTTAGGTATGTATTTACTTTGTTCGGAAATCTCTGTCCTGGGAAAATTCGGTAAGAAACCTAGCGCTACTTTTTTAAACATTAATTTCTAAATATAATAAGTTGTACAGTTAAATATAAAACATTTAGAAAGAGCTTGGTGGTGACCTTTAATAAAGTAAAAATAAATTAATAAAAAATTAAGACTTTTTATCTTTTTTTTTTCATTTTAATACGAGTATATTATTTTTAAAGCTTAGTAAAAATTTAAAACTTTTTATGGGGGAAATTAATATAATGATGATGTGTAGAAAATTTAAAAATGTTGTATTTTAAATTATAAAATATGTTATCGACATAAAATCATATTTCTTACGCTTTTATTTT